TATATATTATATAATAAGAATTACCATTTACCAAAAATAATAACTAAAAAAACAAATCCAGGAACATTGATTATATTCCTTTTTTAGAAAGTTTATTTAAATTTACTTATATATATTTTTTTTAAATCTTGTAGCATTGAATGTTTGATTTTGTGTGTTTAATAAAAATCAAAATTCAAAATCGGTCATTCAAATTTCTAAGTCCTAAAAATCGAGAATTGAAATTTCAAAAACGTCAATCATCTAATCATTCTTTAAATGAAGGATTCCATAAATCAATTTTGGGGCACTGTATATTATAACCTAAAACGTATTATAATTTATCGTATTATAATATTTCTCAATTAAAAATAATTAATGTTAGAATAATTTAGAAAATCTCAATTTCCATACCATACAATACCATTTTTTAAAAAATTTTCTCTTATAAAAAGGAAAACTCGAACATAGTCCATAATTTGTCAATTTTGTGACTAATTTTGAAAATAGGAAAAAAAAATGTATACATCTGTTTAGTATAGATTTGATGGGCAAGGGATAACCGAGCTACCCGACTCGGGTCGATCTCGAAGGAAGGCTATTCGGAGCTTTGTCTACTAAATGATCGTCCAAATCACAAAAATCGAAAATAAAATCCTAAACATTCTAAACAATTGATTGGATGGTTGATTAACACTACTTGAGCACTTAAAAACGAGCAATTAATTGAAAGCAAGATCAAAAGACGAGCATTTCGCAAACTCGATCACCGGAGTCTCATGCCATAACCAATACGGGATGATAATCAATCGACATACGGAATAAACGAGCTACGAGCATTAGATTGCTAACCCTAGTCGTCTAACCGAGATCAACAAGTAATTAACGGCTCTATCTACTCAAGCAAGCAATCAAGTTCAAGCATTTCCACCATCATCAATCAAATCCAATTTACTCTAATAAACATTATAAGTAAAACCGGAGCAAAAACGAAGTAAAGAGCTTTAAAACTAAATACTCAATCTCCCATTGCGTAGACGATGAAAAACGGAGTCAAAAGCTCGAAACTTGAACGAAACCGAAGTCGCCGGAAAATCTCCCGGAAAATAGCATAAGCTCCTAATCTAGAGAGCAAAAATAGAACATAAACTAATTTCCCAAAGAGGAAAAGTGAAAAATGAGAGTTAGATCCACAAAATGCAAAGGACAAAATGTATTTATAGTCTAGCCCCAACACACACTAAAACACGCACATTAAAATGGGACACCCTCGACGTAGCCGTAAAATTCGCGAGCTCGCAGGCAGTGGTTGGCGCACTCTCGACGGCGCGGATGCTGGGGCGTGCTCGCGGGCGTGTGGTATGCGGTTGGTGCGGAGCTCTCGAGCGCGCGGCTCTTTCCGCGAGTGCGCGGGCGCGTACTGGGCGATGCACGCACCACTCTCGACGTCGCGGATCCTGGGGCGAGCACGCGGGTGGCGCTGGCAGGGCGGCTGGGAATGGCGCACTCTTGATCGCGTAGAAATGCCCACGAGCACGCGAGCGCGTGTTTGTGCTGGGCAAGGGAACTCTCGATGCCGCGGTGGATTCCGCGAGCACGCGGGCACGCGCAGTGTGAAGCTCGCGAGGGCCGCGGCGCCCTTCGCGTGGTCGCGAGTGCATGTATTGGGCGCTGGGGCGCGCGGGCGTGTGCGAGGGGGGGTGTGTGGTCATGCGGGTGGCTGGGCGTGCGTCCGCGCGTGAACGGCTTGGGCTGCGGCTAAGGCTTGAACACTCGGTTTGAAATGGTTCGCGCGAATGACTTGAACTTACTCGGGGTTCGGTTCGATTCCTCATCATACTCGGAAAACATCTGAAAATGCAACAATAACACGGACAAGTACGCCAAAATACAAAATAAAAGAGGAAATATAAAAACACACGAAATGTGACAAAATGGACCGGGCGACACTAAAAAGATCCTAAAACCGACTCAATAACACAAATAAACACATAAAAATAAACACAAAAACATAACAAACAATTCCCCCACACTTAGCTTTTTGCTTGTCCTCAAGCAAACAAAATAACAAGTAGCACGAAGAGATATATCGAACGGTCCTAAATTAACGAACATGCAAAATGAAACTCTCGTTATCATTCGGTTATCCCAAAATCAAAATCCAATCCGAGACATGGTCCCCAAATAATGAATCAAACGAAACAAAAACTCGTCCCAAGTAGTTCCACAAATGATCACTCGAGTCAAATCCCCTCATTCACATATACGTGCAAAAACCATAAATGATCTACAAGACATGAAATAATAAGCACGAGATCAATAGGCCAAATCCCCGATTTTTTTTTTTAAATGAGCCACTTTTTCCAAATGAGAGCTGTTAGGACGATTATTACCTAGGTTTAACCTCGGGGTTTGTCTCCGGGTTGCCTAGGCCGGTTTCCCGTGCTCGTTGACCCGATCTCTCTAGAAGATTAACCGAGCCAAGAGGAGCCTAATCCTTTCGACTTCCACGAACTCATTTTGTGAGCTTCTTTTTCCAAACGAAATTTCCGGACGAGATGATCTAGGTTTAACCTCGAGGGGTTTCCCCGAGTTTCCTAAACCGGTTTCCCGGGCTCATTATCCCAATCCACGAATGGCTCAGAATAAGAGGAGCCTAATATGTACTTCCTCGCGAACTCACTTTTTATTCTTCTTCTTTTTTTTTTTTAGGGAGAGACAATTACAATACATAATCATCTCAACTTGATCGAAATGTACCACAAGTGTATAGATAACACGTTTACAACGATAATCGAACATAAGGTAAGCATGCCTCAAGACAACCAATCGAGAACAAACAAAGGACAAAACAATTCCGTTAATCCACATGCGAGTTCCAATATCAACGAATCATCAATCAATTAAAGGAAACAGTCAAATTCATCAAGTACATCAAGCATGAACGCTAATAGTGAAACCAATCAATAATCTCGACTCACCACTTGGCTATCTCGACTCTCTAACAAACATCAAGTTTCATGCGGGAGAGGTGACACGAACACACAAAAACTCAAATAAAACTGGTCCACGACACGACAAAAACAAAAAATAAGGCACAAAAACAAAAAGAAAATACGCCTAAAGCATGCATAATCACGCAAACCCCTCCCCCACACTTAAAACAAAGCAATGCCCTCATTGCTTGACCAACAAAAGCATAGGAAAGAGCACGTAATCACATAAGCTCATGCGAGAAAATAAAAAATAAAAACAAAACGAACTAGACAAACGAGAAAAAGAAAAGAAACACATAACACAAAGAAATAAAGAGAAAAAGAAAATAACGAAGGGAAAAGAAAGCGCGTACCTACACGGTGGTATTCCACCGTGTGTCTAATGGTGTTAATCCGGTGGGAATACGAGAAATAATCCAAAGGTCCTTGAGTGCAAAACAAAGCCATCCAAACGAGTGAACAATAAAAGCATATCGATCCATAAGCCAACCGAGCACTATGGTATTTGAAAGCATAAGAGAATCTCATCTTTAGGCACCAAGTAATGGCCACATGTATGCATCTCAGAGAGATAATAACCGAGAATCCACAAACTCGACGTAGACGCACGTATCATGAAAGATCAAAATTGGGGCCTCTAGCCCATAATAGTGCTCTGGAATGACCCGACCAACTTTTCAATCGAAGCATAACCTCACGCACAACCGACACCAATGGTATAGTGAAATTCAAATCAAACGCCAAAGTACACCGCATTTCCCCTAAAACAATCAACAATAACTCCGAACGAGCCTCACACCAAAAGACAATAGCCAAAATCCTCCAAATGATTAATATATACTCATGAGCCCCCGATACACCTCGTAAAACGACGATCTCGGCACCAAGAGTAAGAAAAATCGGGCAATGAACCTCGATAAAGCTCCAAGAGAGTGAAAAATCTAAGAAAAATGGGTGAAGGAGGTAGAATCGCCGCAAAATAAGGTTTCCGACGGCTTTAAAGGCTCAAAACGGTCCCGGGAGGTCGAAAATATCGTTTCCGGCCAGAAAATGTGGATCGCGGCCGGAAAACGGGGCCCGGGAGGTTCGCCGGAAAATTTGGCCGGAAAAGTCGCCGGTCGCTGGAAAATATCGCCGGCGGCCGGAAAATATCGTCGGCGGTCGC